CTTTTTAAAATGAGAGGTGGAATCAGGCGATATTGATTCTTTTTACGCCAGCACCTACACCGTAACGAGACTGTTGCGTATACGCTCTCATCGAAAGGACCGGTCTCCGCGTCTTGAATCCGCAACGTGCATATGCATGTACCTGAATAATATGTACAGTGTATTTATAAGTCTTTAAAGAAATCTCATTAAGGAAACTTAATTAATATTCTATTTTTTTCTAATATATTTTATTATTCGTATTTATTCAAATTACATGCATTTAGTTATTAGGGTACATTGAACCTTATTCGTCAGCCAGTCTGACCATCTGACACAAGAACTTAAAACTTTATAATAACTTTTCAATGAGTTGAAATAGGACTTTCATATTTTACATGTGCATTATTTGTGACATGACATTTTCAAGTATACTGTGATTTTTTACCCTGTGACCTTGAAGCCTGTCCTACTTAAAATAATAACATGACTTTGAATTGACAATAACTTTTAAAATCTTCCATTTTATAAACGTGTATTACCTGCTTTCAAAAACATTAACAATAATCATAAATGTACACTTTGAATGAGAAAAGATAGGGCTTTAATTTTACTCCTGTGTATTACCTTAGACAACACTTCTAAAACACTGATTTTTGAATCCGTGACCTTGAGGTTTGACTAACTTTTCACAATTTTAACCTTGTTCATAACTTTTGAATGAGTTTGAAGGAGATAGGGCTTTCATATTACACAAAAATCACATGTTCCTTACCTGTGATAAAATCTTTTTCAAATACTAGTATATAATGAACTTTGACCTTGAATTTTAACCTGCTATTCTAAAATTTTAACATTGCTTAAAATTGACCATAACTTTTGATAAAGAAAGGGTGGCGCTTTCATACCTGGTATTACACATGTATATTAGATGTGACAAGGCCTATCAAAAAGGTATTGCTTATATTATGCCGAATGTGTCAATGCTTTGAATTAAGGTCATTTGGGATAAGATTTTTGGCTGGATACATTGTTTGAAAGAATTTGTGAACTTGTCAATACGGTAGCACACAAATGGGATATGGGCATCACCATCGTGTGTCATGGTGTGACGCAAGGTAATTTTGACAAGGTCAGGGTCACAAACATTTCTTTACTATCGTTTTTTTAATAGTGAAACATTATAAGAACATATATATCCTTAAAAGATTGCTTTAACATTAGAATGTGGCGTGACCTTGACTCAAGGTCATTTCTCCCTGTCCTTAGCTCCAACGGAAGACCTACTCGTTGCTTTGCAACGAGCTTGGCTCTAGTATAAAAATCTTTTTTTATGTAACCTAACTCAAGTAGTATATTCACATGACAGGGAAAATAGTAATATACATTCAATTTCCATGATAGTATATCAAGTTTTAGAATTTAAAATTACCTTTCCAAGCATTTTGTATTATTCATTACATGGCCTTTGTATGGTTCTCGAATTCTACTTAGTCCACAATATCACACAAACTAAAATGAATAAAAACACTCAAAAAGTTTAACGTAACGGAAGATCACTTTTAATATTTAAAGTAGACTTCCTTATTAATTAATACACTGAACTCAAAATTAAGCAGTATATCAAAATGTTTACAACATGTAATCATTATAGAAAATTAAAAATCATTTCCTTAATTTAGTTACATATTATCATAAGGCTTACATGTTAATAATTCGCATCATATTTGTATCTTAAATTCTAAAATTAAACATTCTCCAACAAATTAATGGAAAAAAAGAGTTCTATAATATTATGAACAATCCACATTATACAAGTTTCCTGTACTGGAAAAGGTAAAATAATAAACATTTTCATAGTGATCTGCAAATAAAACATGGAAATAGTAAAAAAAAAATTAAAAATAAGATTTGTTATGCCCCCGTATAATGAAGTTTCGGGGGTATATAGTTTTTGTCGTGTCTGTTTGTCTCTCTGTTTGTCTGTTTGTAAAAACTTTAACCTTGCCCATAACTTTTGATTTAGTTGAGCTATGACTTTCATATTTCATATGTGTATTTCTTGTGACAAGACCGTTCTTTGAATACCAACAAATTTGACCTTTTGACCTTGACCTTGGAGTTTGACCCACTGTAACATGAAAATTTTAAAAATTTACTTTGGCCATATCTTATGAACAGTAAACTTCAGAACATTTATACTTCATATATGTAATGTTAATTAAACGACCTTTCACTGGATGCCAACAACCTTGACCCTTTGACCTTGACCTTGTAGATTTCCGTACTTGTGAAAAAACTTTAACCTTGGCCATAACTTTTTAACGGTAAGGGATAGGGATTTCATACTTCATACATGTTATGACCCTTCATTGGATACTAAAAACTCAAAACCCTCTGACCTTGACCTTTGAGATTGACCTACTTTAAAAAAGCAGACCTTGACCATAACTTTTAAAGATTAGGGCTATTGCTCAAAGACTTTACATATTAAATCCTTATGACAAGACCTTTCATTTGATAACATTAACTTTGACCCTTTGACCTTGACCTTTAGTTTGACCCACTTTTACATGAAAATTTTTTAAATTTTACTTTGGCCATATCTTTTGAACAGTAAAAACCAGGACATTTATACTTCACATATGTAATGTTAATTAAAAGACATTTCACTGAATACCAACAACCTTGACCCTTTGACCTTGACCTTGTAGATTTCTGTCCTTGTAAAAAAACTTTAACCTTAGCCTTAACTTTTGAATGGTAAGGGATAGGGCTTTCATACTTCATATATTTAATCCTTGTGAGAAGACCCTTTATTAGATACCAAGAACTTTGACCCTTTAACCTTGACCTTTGAGATTGACCTACTTTAAAAAAGCAAACCTTGACCATAACTATTAAAGAGTTAGGGCTTGTGCTTTCATACTTTACATTTTTAATCCTTATGAAAAGACCTTTCATTTGATAACAATAACTTTGACCCTGTGACCTTGACCTTGGAGTTTGACCTACTTTTTAAGAAATTGAACGTTGACCATAACTTCTGAACGGTTAGGGCTAGGGCTTTCATGATCTACATAAGTATTTTATGTGGCAAGACCTTTCATTTGATACTAATTACATTGACCTTTTGACCTTGACCTTTGAGATTTTGTACTTATTAACCAATAATTAAATTTGCATTTAAGATAAGCTTAATCTTTGATATGTTGCCATACGTTATAATCAGTGTTTTACAAACACATTTTTGTTTCTATACAGTGATGCCCTGAAAAACAGCTTATTGAGAGGGTTGAATTTTCTAATGCTTGTCAAACTCCAAAGGGCAATGTCAAAAAGTCAAAATAACTGGTACTTAAGTTACAATCAATGCACTTGTGAAATCTGAAAGCCTTTGTCTTAGCTGTTCAAAAGTTATAGACAATGGTAAAGGTTTAGGAAAGTTCAATACTTTACATGTCAAGCTCAAAAATAATTATACCCACTGACATGTCTTATTTAAGGTTTTACTGATCGTTAAATGGGTGAAATGAGCTCAAATTATCATTATGTTATAAATCAATTCTTTTGATTTCTCGGTTGTAGTGCCTAGCAGTAATATTCCAAAGAAGACAAAAGTCGAAACCTGACTCAAGCTGTTCACTGTAGTTTCTACAAATGTTCAGATTTTTAAAGGATTTCTTTTTTAAAATCTTAACTGGCATCCACTTGTAAATTCATTTGTTAATTCTTGCAAATTTATCTGGAAGATGTTATGGACTTCATTGGATACCAAGAAATTTGACCCTTTGACCTTGGAGATTGACTTACTTTTTTTCAAACTTTAACCTTGGCTTTAACTTTTGAACAGTAAGGGCTAGAGCTTTCATCCTTCACATATGTAGTCCTGGTGACAAGACCTTTCATTTTATCAACAACTTTGACCGTTTAATCTTCACCTTAGAGTTTGGCCTACTTTTTACCAACTTTAACATTGGCCATAACTTTTCAACGGTGAGGGAAATCGCTTTCATACTTCCCATATGTTATCTTTGAGGCAAGGCATTTTTTTTTTAGAAACAAACAACCTTGACCCCTTGACCTTGACCCCGGAGTCTGCTACCTTTAAAAACGTTAACCTTGGTCATACCCTTTGAACAGTTGGTGCTAGTGTTTTTTTATTTCAAATTTGTACTTCCTGTGAAAAGGCCTTACTTTAGGTATCAACGTATTTGATCTGCATTTGAGAAAACTTAACCTTCGCTATGTTGCTATACCGCATCTGTGTTTTACAAACATATCTTGTTTTTCTAATAATTCATTTAGTTTTTTTCTTGTGTAGTGTTAGTATTAAATCGATATACCCGAGTGTTATAATAGAAGGATGTATTCTAAATTTGTTATTTTTGAACCCATTACAGTGCTTTTACATCATTAAAATGATGAATATTTTCTGAATTATTTGAAGGACGACTAAATTTGACAGATGTTCTTCTAATAATTAAAATGTATGTTTTAATTGTTCACAAAATATTTGTTAAGTTAATTAAATCAATATCACTTTTGAAATTTAAGGAAACGGTGAATTGAGAAGGAAATAAATTCATATATAAAATATGTCGGTATCATAATCTGTAAGCATTGGTTAATGCAAGGTAAGTAAGACGATTATCAATTTTACAATTTCCAAAATATTAAGTCGATTAACAAAGTTGTAGTTCTTAAAAATGGGGGGGGGTCTCTAAAAGTACACTGCCAAGTTGTTTTAACTTAACTTATTCATGCCCTTAACTTCTTTCATATTCCAGGTCAAGGAAGTGGTACAAGCATACTACATTTGACTGTGCAACTCATATTTTTAAGCCATATAAGGTACATATGAAATTCTATAGCATGGTATTCAAACTGAAAAAGTTAAGAAAAGAAAAACAGTCATCCATCACCGTAGAAATTACAAGCATTACAAGTCTTAAAACATGCATAAAAGAAATACAAATGTATAGATTTGTCCTTAATCAGACAAATACAGTCTGTAAGCAATGGGTACTGTGATGAAAAGTACGAAGATAACGAATAGTGCTGGATCTCAGCAAATCTATGAACAAGGTACAAGTGTTGGCAGAGACCCCTGGAGATTTCAAAGGTGTGATCAGGTGTCAAAAAGAAGAAAGTAATCCCCATTTGCATTGGTCAGTGTGCAGAAAATAATTCTTACTTGCAATGGTTGTTCTTTCAGTTAATCTAGAAGGACCAGCTGGAAACATATGCTCTATTCATTTAGAACAAAATCATTAACACATTCAGGAAAAAAAAGATAATTCTAGTTTTTAATCCTTTGACATCCCGTTAAAGCAATATGAGCTACATTTTTGAAAATTTTATTTTTCTATTAAAATGTGTTATTATGATAAATTTGTTTGTAACTTAGACCATTATGATCAATTAAACTGAAATAAAGCAAAAAAAAAAAAAAAAAAAAAAAAAAAAAAAAAGATTTCCATATAGTTACAATCTAATTGCAATATACAGTTTTATATCAGAAATCATTATTGTACAGGAAAAAATCTAATTTTGATTCTAAGCTTATAAGTAGTTCTTCCATAGCAAATAAAAAGAACAGAAGTTTATTATCGTTATTATTTCTGTTTATGAAATAATTTAAACAATAAAATGTTTCATTGTTTGATATAACTGGAATTAACGGAAGCAGCTATTGCAGGAAAAAGACATGATCAAACCCGCGTACAAATGTAAGCGGGTTATGTATATACAATCCGTTAAATAAAGCAAACAAAATATACATTTAATTGTTTATATTCATATCTGTTTAAATAATCATTTAATGTAGGATTAAAAAGATTAATTGAATTATTGTATTAATGATGCGAACGTCTTTATACGTTTCATTGATGGAACAGCCACTGATTAAGAAATCTGTACAGGCCACATGACTGTTTCATGATCATGCAGTAATTAACGCAATGGGTTTTCCTAAGAAATAAAAGATAAAATATTCAGAGGATGTAAATATTATTAACTAATTTGCAACAAAAAATTCCGACATCAAAATTGCAGCTCATAGTGCGTTAAGTTATCTATTATATGACATTATGATGCGGTGTAACTGTTTCCATATAAAGATTTTATACTGCCTCAAACTTATTTTCTAAATTTATTTTATTTTATTTTTAATCTAGATAACTATGGAGTCGTGTGTGTCATCAATATACCCTTTCTCTTACTTGTGATGGCTATTATACATGTCCATGCAACAGAAAACTTCTGTCCTCACAGTGTATGTTTCTGTTCGGACAATATTACGGCAGATTGTTCGAATAGAAATCTTAAGACTATCCCTGCCGGATTGCCACTGAGTGTCAAAACTTTAGTTCTGTCAGGAAATAAATTCCCGATTCTTTCGAATAACTTATTCAACCCTATCCGTACCCATAATATTACAAATTTGTTGATAGATAATTGTCAGATACAAAATATTTCAGAAGACTCATCTGAACGTTTACAAACCCTGGTTCATATTGACTTGGCTTATAATAAATTACCCATGGAAAGTCTCTATGATGCCATCCAACATCTGGGAAATTCAAGCGTTAAGGTGTTAAATGTTTCTGGCCTAATTCTCAAAACTCGATTGTTTCCTGTTACGTTAAAAAACATATTCCTTACGTCTTGGTTAAGGGGGTTGGAGGAGGTTGTTATTCGATCCTGTGGCTTACGGTTTTTTACTTTTGATTCGTTTAAAGAATTGTCAAGTATAAGAAAAATTGATTTTGGTGGCAACTTGATATCAAATTTTGTAGTTCCAAAACTTCAAATTTATACTTTAGAAGAGCTGAATTTTACAGATAACATTTTCGAAAAACTTCCCAAGTTCTGCTTGAATAACACGCGGAATAAAATACCAGCGTTTCCAAGGCTGCAAACATTACATATGGCCGTGAATGATTTGATGGATACTTCCTTCTTTGTAGATCAAGGCTTCTGTCTTCAACGCGTTAGATTTCTGAACATTTCAGGCAATTTATTCCAAACAATCACTTTCTTCTCGTTCGTTAGAATGAATAATTTACAAACCTTAATCATAGATAATTTAAACGGAGTTGTTATGGACAATAGATCGTTATCATCAACATCTCTCCAAACACTCGCTATAGGACGTATCGTGGAGAGAAAGGACAAAGAATTCAAAAATATTTTCCTCAATTGCCCAAACATCCTGGTTCTACGAATAATGAATACCGATTTTTCAAAAACTGACGTCAGAAAAATGCTGGAACCTCTGAAAAAATTGTCATCCTTGACAATTATATATGGTTTGATTCATCAAATGACTTTTTTAAATGATTTTACAAAATTAACAAAAATAGACTACAGTTTTAATAAAATTAAAGAAATTTCTGGAAACTTTGTTCAAAATTTAACAGCAGTAAATCAATTAACTCTACAGAACAATAGTTTAAATAACATCAATCAAACATCTTTGCCCGATTTTCTTTGGAAAAATGAAAGCTTTCTTCTTGATGTATCGTCCAATCCCTTTGATTGTGGATGTCAACTTGAATGGTTCAGAGAATGGATAGAAAACAACAAAGACCGAGTGATCGGATATCCAAAGAAATATATTTGCGAATCCCCATTGGAATTGAAAGGAAGGAGCCTATCCGAATTTGATCCAGCTTCGGAATGTCACAAATTAAATCCGTATATCATACTAGCATCCATTTCCTGCGGACTTCTCTCAATTCTTATTTTCACTACATTTCTCTTAAGGAAATTTCGCTGGGATATCAAATATTACATTTACATTTGCAGAAATAGAAAACCTACGGGTTATAAAAGATTTACCGACGACGAAGAATTTTTATATGATGCTTTCATTGCGTATAACACGAACGACAGAAAATGGATAATGTCTGAACTTGTTCAAATGCTAGAAAGAAATCACAAATATAAGCTGTGTTTGCACGAGCGAGACATCATTCCAGGTGGGGTGTATGTGGAGGACATCGTGGAGAGCATTGACATGAGCAGGAAATTAATCCTAGTCCTCTCAAATCACTTTATGGACGATCAATGGTGTAAATATGAAACGGCTCTCGCGAGTCACACTCTGGCAGACGGTGACAGTCACAAGCTTTTCCTGATTCTTTTGCAGGATATTCGTTCTGAACACATGAACGGCTCCTTGAAAGTGCTTCTTAACTCAACCTCACATGCTAGGTGGACGGAAGAGAAAACTGAACAGAGAAAATTCTGGCAAACTGTCAAGCAATTCATGAACTGAAATTCTAAACGATTATACAAACTTTTGAATCTTCTCTTTTTCCTCTTTTTTTTTAATTTTTGTTTCCATACAGTAGTTAAGTTGCTTATTCATTACACTGTTTTTTTTTAAAATGTGCTTGTATTGTACTTTTAGTCCAAGCAGTAATCATCATAGTGTTGGACATATAGACATGAAAATATATAGCTTTATATTTGTTAAGCTTGTATTTTTTAAATGTTAGATGTTAATATTAATTTTTTTTAAAATGTGACTTTTTAAAATTTCTTCTGACATGTACCCAATGTTTTTGTGTGTAAATAGTACCAATGTATGCTTGTAACTAATTTCAATAACTAACATTTTCAAAATAAACTCTTAACTCTCCTTTAAAATAAGGAAATAAGGTAAACATATCAATATTTTCCTAAATACTCTCACTAAGTTTATAGATAAATTTAAATGATATCCTAAATCAATTCCTTAATTGTATTTTATCAAATGTAACAATGAAAATAAACATTATTTTACCTAAAATTAGTTTAATAATATAACATCAACTAATTATCAATAATATAACATCAACTAACTCATTAAACTAATATCATGCAAATTAAATATCATGCAAAATAATCTTGTTCCTATATGCATTTGTAAAAAGTTTTCAAGCAGAATATTGTATACATTTGTAATTTGCATTGTCTCATTGAAATATATAATGAAAATTAAATTGTTTTAAACAATTTTGAAATTGACGGTTCTGGCTTAACTTTATTCAAACGCTGAGCAACATTAATTACTAGAATACCACCATGTGCTCCTTGTCATGATCGGAATTTTTTTCCGTAGTCAATTCAATTTATAAATTACGCGGGCTGTTCGGAAATTATTGAGACATTGTGTATATTTTGCTTTCTAATGAACGCCTTTCGGTGAAAATTTGCAGATACGTTTGACATACACTAAAAATTAATATGAGCAAGAAATATTTTACAAATATTAAATATTTTCTATACAATGGTATATAAATGTGTCTATAGTAGGGGTACCCGGAGCAGTCGCGAAATCAGATATTGAAATATGTTACACCAAAATTCTAACTCTTCGTGGATCCATAATGACAGCGAAAATAATTCAGTTTAAGTGTACAATTGTTCAGCTTTGTTGCAAATTCGGAAATCATAAAAAAAAATTAAGCACGGTCGAGAAATCTGCTAACGACGACAAAATAGATTTTGACGTCAAGGTCGGAGCAGCCAGCATACCTAAAATTTTGTGTAGCGTTATGTAGAACTCTTTTCAAGACTGAGCGACCTTTTTAAAACAATAAAAACGAGAAAAAATAATGTGTTTGTTTTTTTTTCATTGGTATGCATTGTTTTTTTTTACAATTAATTTAACCGAAGTAAAATTAAAAGATATGGACGACCTTGAGTTATTACGTACATTTTTGATACCGCTACAGTATTAAACCTGCGTTGCATAAATGGCACTGCACGATTCTGAGTCATCCTTTCTCACAAATGAACATGTTTCACTGGGGTATGGGGTAGCAACAGCATACATTTTTAAATAATAGTTTAAAGAAAGAGACTGTTTGATTTTTGTAATGTTATGTGTAATAACAAAGAAGGAAGAGTACTAAACGCTTCCCGATCGTTTCACAAGCGAAATAATATACGGCTAACGTAACGTTAATTGACGTAGCGATGCTGCTCCAGGTCAATAATAATAATAATAATAATAATAATAATAATAATAATAATAATTCTTTATTTAAAGAAGGTAGTCCGATTAGTGCACGCACTATTCTTCCCCGGGGCCTTCTATAGACAAAATCAACAAACATACATACATATATATAAATATACAAAATCAATAAATAATCATAAGCTATTTCTACATTGTTTTACAAATTTTTTGACTTGATGCTTGAAAGCATTGAGTGTTTGAGACATTCTTATATGTACAGGTAAATTATTCCATAAGATAGCACCAGAGTATTGAAAGGAGTTCTCAAAGAGTTTACATTTATGAGATGGTACACAGAGGTCTAAATTAGATTCAGATCGGAGATTGTATCGATTATTACACTGGAAGTCAAACATACTATTTACATAAGTAGGGTGAGAGTTGAACAATGATTTATATAACAAAACATATTTATTTACAATAAGTTGCTCATACACTGTGAGCCATTCTAGGTTTTCAAAGAGAGGTTGTGAGGGCGCATCAATAGGAGCATCTAAAATACATCTTGCAGCACGTTTTTGAAGTTTATATACTCTGTCAAGATTTGAGTGAGATGTATTACCCCAAACAGTTAAACAATAATCAATTGAAGGCATAATATATGCATTGTAAAACAGCTTGCGTGTTTGAATAGGGAGAAACTTTTTAATTCTACGGAGGGCAGAAATTTTACGTGACAGTGTTTTACAAACATGGTCAATGTGTACATTGTATTGTAAAGAATTATCTAAATAAACTCCAAGAATTTCTTCATTTGATACAAAATCAAGTTTTCTGTTAGATACAAACAGATTAATTTCATGCTCAGAAAAATTTGATCTCTTTTGATGCGTACCAACTAACATGCATTTAGTTTTTGTAGCATTTAGAACCATTTGATTTTGAGAACACCATTTTTCTATAAAAGCTATATCCGTTGATAATGTATCTACAATAGTTTGAGAATCTTTACTTGATGCATGTAAAGTGGCATCATCTGCAAATAAGTCTAATTTGGATTTTGTAATACATAAGGGAAGATCATTAATGTAAAATAAAAACAGAAGAGGACCTAGAATAGAACCCTGTGGAACTCCCGCTGTGACTTGCTGATAAGATGAATGTTTGTTGGACAGATGTACACTTTGAAGTCTTTCACTTAAATATGATCTGAACCATTGTAAAGTTATTGCGTCAAAGTTATAACATTGTAGTTTTTTAAGTAGAATATCATGATTGACAAGGTCAAAAGCTTTACTGAAATCAAGAAAAACAGTACCAACAAGTTTACCTTGGTCCATTTCATTTAACCATTCATCTGTAATTTTTGTAAGGGCTGTTTGGCATGAATGTAGTTCTCTGAAGCCTGATTGAGAGTCTACTATAAGATCAAAATCCGAAAAAAGAGATCGTATATATTTTGCCACATGTTTTTCAATAACTTTTGATAATGTTGGTAAAATAGAAATAGGCCAATAATTATTTGGATCTAATCTGTTTCCTTTTTTATAGACTGGGGTAACTTTTGCAAGTTTAAAACTATCGGGGAAAATGCCAGTTTTGATACTAGTATTTATAACATGGGTCACAGGTTTATGTATTATCTTTGAAGTAAGTTTCAATAAACGTGGCCCGATGGTATCAACACATGAAGATTTACTAATATCTAGTTTATTGAGTAAAGCTAGTACTTCATCATGATTTATGAGTGGGATAGAAAACTTGTCTGCTTCCAATTTAGACTGAACAAAATCTAAAAGATCTGTCAAGTCATTTTCCTCCTTACTTATGCCTGAAAGAAGTTCTGTAGAAATATTTGAAAAATGAGAATTAAACATTTCTACTATTTCTTGTGTGTCCTCTGTGATATAATTATTTTTAGCAAGTGCAGCTGGAATATAATTATTAGATTTAGAGGCTAAATTGTTTAGTACATTCCACATTTGTTTTGGATTTTTGTTTTGTTCTATAGCTGTTTTGTAATAACTAATCTTGGCGTTTTCAATTAGTGATGTAACTTTATTGCGCCATATTTTGAAATTTTCAAAGTCTTTATTTTTATGGAGGGTATCACGCATGTGTTGAGCTTGCAGAATTTCTTGAGTTAAACATTTAGGTCTTGTGTCATGCTCAACTCTTTTTGTTTTTACTTTTGCGTGTTTATCTAATACCTCATTAAAAAGTGAATAAAATTTATTAAGTGCTTCATTAGGGTCAGAGAATAATTCCAATGAATGGAAATTAACCTCCTTTAAGTCTGCAAGAAAATTATGTTCATTAAATCGTTTAAAGTCTATGTATGTTATTTCTGTGTTCTTGAATTTGTTGGTGTTATTATTTAATTTTCTCGTAAAACAAACAGGATAGTGGTCAGATATTGCAATTGACGGTACTGCAGATTCACATATGTTTTCTGGTAGGGTCGTATAAATATGGTCAATAAGAGTTGATGAGGTGTTTGTAATTCGTGTAGGTACATTAATTAGCTGTGTGAAGTCATATTCTTCAAAAGCAGAGGTCCAGTACCTTGGGGGGTCTTTAATCAGGTCGATATTAAAGTCACCTGTTAAAATAATTTCAGCATCGTCACAGCGGGATGCACAATTTATCTCCCGTGTTAGACTTTCTACCCAGCAGGTGGTGGCAGATGGGGGCCTATATGTGGTACAATAAAAAAGTGGTTTTGAATTAGGGATATTAATTTCAAGCCATATGGATTCAATATTACCTATTTCAAAATCATTTCGACGTTTGTAATGTAAATTTTTGGAGACATAGACCATTAATCCTCCCCCTGATTTCAGTAACCTATCTTTCCTCTCAAAATTAAATCCTTCAACATCTAACTCACAGTTGTCTGTTTGTTCATTTAAAAATGTTTCACAGATACCAAATACATCCATAGAGCGATATCCTGATAAAAGAATTTTAAGTTGATCAATTTTTGGCATGATGCGACATATATTTAGATTTCCAAATCTAAGACCTTTCTTGACGAGTCCGAAATTGTTTATATATTTATTTGAAGTTTCCTTTTGTGAATGACCATTATTTGTAGAAATTGATGAATTGGGAATTTGTTTTGTTGATTTAGTAAAGGAGGATGTACATGATTTCATATGAAATATTTTTTTTGACAGGATTTACATTACAGTTACTGACTGATTGTGAAGAAGACATAAAACTTTTAGCTACATCTGATCCTACTGATCGGTCTTTGATATTACGTGCAATACAGATATAAGAACATTTGCATGATATTTCACACTGGATGAAAAATACAGTTTCCGCATGGCTGAAACTCTACTGAAACTCTGCGGAAACTTAAGGTTACTAATAGTTTCTGCAAAGTTTCAGTGCGGAAACTTCAAGTTTCATCAAGTTTCCGCAGTGCGGAAACCAAAGGTGTCCACGAATCCAAATAGTTTCCGCAACTGAAACTTGCTGAAACTTGAGGTATACACAAGGTTTCAGTATGCGTATACGGTTGAAGTACATCTGGTTTACCAATGGTTTCCGCAACAGAAACTTGCTGAAACTTGAGGTATACGCAAGGTTTCAGTATGGGTATACGGTTGAAATACATATGGTTTACCAATGGTTTCCGCAACAGAAACTTGCTGAAACTTGAGGTATACGCAAGGTTTCAGTATGCGTTTACAATATTGATATACATAAGGTATACTATAGGTTTCCGCAACGGAAACTGAAGTATTGACTACACAATTTAGCCCTGGTTTTCAACCAAAAGTCATTTTCCCCCTGAATTCTCACATGGAAAAAACAACAACACACTAACACTAGTTATCAAAGAATATTTAATGTTATTATCAACGTTTACATACATCGGGTTGAACATATATTTTCTCTTGCATCATAAACATTTTTACAGCTAAGTCCGAGCCCTCAAGTCACGACAGGAGGACAGAGAAAATGTCTGCATTTAACGATGTCTCATACATCAGAGATATAATCTTGCGAGAGGAACTTAGAACTGCATTACTGCAATCAATCAACTAAACCTGAATTTGGTTTATGCAAATCTAGTATTATCAAGGAAATGTAAAATTACTTGGTATAATAAATGCACAAGTTCAAATCATAAGTAGGCAATAAGCACCAAGGTGGATTCCTTTGTTAAAAATTCAGTTTGTAGTCCATCATCAACCAACAGAAAAGACCTTGAGTGGTTCTCATTTTTTGATGACCCGCTTAAACTTATCATGCTTATGCTAGTGGTGGCTGCATGTTTTCGGAACTGTGCAATGCATCACTGTAGTCTGCATGTATGACCTGTTTCAGTTGACTTTAAAAACATCAATGCTTGAGTATAAAGAGACTTGTTTTCATCATTGGAGAAATGATATCATGTTCAAGTTGGATTGATCTGCTCATCAGTTACTTCAACCTATTAAAAATATATATAAATATAGTTTAACAAAATCCGAATCTAAATAAAACAACATGTTAGATCCTCTCGCATTCTTGCTACACAACATCTAACAACATCCCATAGAAGGTCACGTCAGATGTCAAATACGGAACAACTCTAGACTTATTCGTTCCCATATATGAAATACAATAATTTTGCAGTTGACTATTTGATTGGTTAATAGAATTTGACCTCTGACATGACACTCTACAGGATGTTGTTAGATTTAGGCAGTATCTAGTACAAGCCTTTGTTTGATTAATTTCACATTTTAAGCATTTTATCAGAATGATTTAAAATGAAATCTAAAAATTTATCAAGTGTAAAATCTCATTAGTTTATTAAAGTTGCCTCTTTTAAACACTTGACTACGGATAATGAAATAACCAAACTTGAATTTATTTGAATGTACCTGAATATGTATGTATGGATTTGTTCCTGATTTTCAGAGTAAATTAAGGAATTTTTTTTTCATTCTACTTGTTCATCAAAATATTTTTTTTTATTTGAATAACAACTAGAGGCCCATAGACCTAAGGCCAAAATAAAATTATAGTTTGTTTGGAATTGCCTCCCACCTCATTGAAATGCCCCCCTCCTGAAAAAATTTTATTGACCAAAAGTAGGAAGATTTTTTTTGCCCATTACATGTATCACACACACCACACAAAACACTGAAATGTAGTGTCAGATCTATGTAAAATTAGGTATTTTTGTTCTGAGATTTTTATCAAAAATTTATAATTTATCTTCAATTAAAAAAAAAAAAATAAATTCCCTCCCTCCCACCTGTGTCTGAAACCCTCCAGGCGGCAATTCCAAACAAAGAATTTTTTAAGGATGGCCTAATAGGTATCATGTAACAACTTTCACTCAATTGAATTTGGTTCGTGTTTTAAACAAAAAGCCATGAAATTCCCAATTTTGAAAGACGCACCATTGTTTATCATAATTATACACTTAGCATACTTACTTTGGTTACTCAGTACCCAAAGGTGGATCAGAGTAATAAAGATAAAATGCAATTCCATTTTAAAACCACCAGTTATGTACCCCATTCCGCAGGAACCACTAACCCTGGGGCCACACATTTCAAAATTTTCTAAATGTTATCTTGAGTTTTATTTCATCATAAATGGTTGATTAATTCCAAAGAGCTATATAGACCAACCCTAGTACTAGAACCCCTGACCTTGGGACCATGAATTTCATAATTATGGTAGATGACCCAGTGCTGATTACAATCATGCTAACAGTTTGACTGCTTGATGTCCAGGAGTAAAGAAGAAGAAGGGGGGTATCATAAAATTTACAAATTTTGTTCCCCTTCACCAATAGATGCTTTGTACCAAAATTGGTTGAAATTGGTTGAGCGGTTGCAAGGAAGAAGCTGAAAATGTTCAAATATTAACACACGACAGACAAAAACAGATAGTAATAGGTCACCTGAGTTTACTAAGGTGACCTAAAAATAGGCCTGTTGATAAGTACTTATTTTAAATAAATCATAGAATTTTAGTAGGTAGCTTGCAAAATGAGACTTTCTAAGAAAATGTTAACATCTGTTAATTTGATGGAAATGCTGAACATATAAAGATATCATATAAAGCTTAAATAGCAGAGAAAAGCAGCTCATACCCCCTCCCTCCCCCACAACACACACACACACACTGACAACAACTGACTATGATAAATAGAGAGCTTTAAATTATACAGTGAGATTAAGAAAACAATAGAAAATAAAAACATAAACTTTGTGCTTTAGTCCTTAATTTCCTAAAATAGAGTTACATAAGTTCTTACTAATAAAACATACTTTTTAACAGAAGTATTCTTCATCCTCTCTTAGTTTTCAGATGATTTGTTCCATGGATATCTGAAATTAAAATAGATTGAGTTAGTACAGTGCCGTACAGTAATAACTTTTTTGTTTTTAGCATGAGCTCAGAAAAGTCCCAAAAACCACTTGCATGTCCATTTCCTTACACCTGACATGCAGTGAAAATTCTAATGGACACATGACAAAGAAAAAAAAAATGAATGGAAATTGTATCATTTTAAAATGGACACAGTCACACTCTGGTCTAATTTTAAGTGGCAGTCCTATCACAACCTCAATTTATTCTTGAAATGCAAATAAATCTGAGAGTGAGAAAAATTAAATAAGTTATTATTTTCCATAAAAGCAAGACTACATCTAAATTATGTTTGTTTAAGATATTTAGGCCTTCTCCGATTCAAAATTATAATTCACTTGATAATTCATTTTATTTAATATTCTATTTTACATCAAGGGAAGATCATTATTTGTATAATAAGACAGAACTAGGACTCTTCAGTGGCCATTGTTGAAAACTGATTTAATTAGTGATAGAAATATGGAAAATGGTAAACAACTATAAACAGAGAGATTACAAAAATCTTATTTGTGTATCAGTCATTTTATCAAATCAAAAAAATTTAGAGATCATAAAAGTATTATGTCAAATTTTCATAATGGGTCACATTGCCAGTGGTTAGAGCGACACGCCTAGAGTTGGGGAGTAAGAGCTGATTCTTACATCACGGATCTGAATCAAATGTAGTACACAGAGACTGGTCCCTCGGATGAGACTGTGTTGGTGACGTGTCCACATTAATAAAAAGTTCTCTAAAGGGTAACAAATAAATACAAGTATATGACTGTATAATGAATCAATACATGTAACTTAAGAAATTGAAAATGGCCAATTGCCCATTTCATCAAGCTCCAGTCTATCATAAATCATATACAGGTAAATACTGTTCTGTTCATATCAAGAGAATCATTTTTACGGTTGTGATTTCTGATGTATTTAGAAATTGCACCACATTTAAAGGCCGAGATTTTTAACCGTACGGTTTTCTCAGGTAAGGGGATGGACTAAATTTTACATGCGTGGCACCCCGAGGCACTGACGGTCGTGCAGACCGGGGGAAGCGCTAATCCCTATACACAAACAGTATACACAGGAAGTCAATGAGTATTACCTGTACAGCTTGTTGGCCCTATGTTCATCATTAATTAAATCAATAACTCTCGACACCGTAAATAAAAAATATCATAAGTAATAATTGATGATAATTATTAATTCCACAATTTCAGACTTATATCTAATATCATACAAGCAGAAATCTCACTGGTCGACTTTTGTTAAAAAATCTACGGTGTGTACCTTACATTCTATGTCACAGCAGCAATGACTTGATCGAGTTCGTTGTTAAAAAAAATCATGAAACACAGGTAAAAATTCAAAAGTAAAATTCTCATCCTTGCCTGTCCCTTTCAAAATCTTAAAAACTTTTCATGTTTAGCAATTAGAGCTTCGATTACGTCAAATAGCAACAGTTACTTCCCGTTTGTATAAAAAGTCGAGTGGTCCTATATTTCGCAAATGTACATTCTGTATCTTATTGTGAAAAATTCGCGATAATGATGGTTTGGTAAAGTTAGAATTACATACAAATATGTATGTATTTTTAGTAAATTCAGATAATAATTAAACAACTGAAAACAACATATTAATTTATTGCTAAATTGCTTATTTCTTTCTAAACTATTTTTAACACCTGTGACCTTGAACGGAGGTAACAACCCACGGGTATGAAAAAGGAATAGAAAAGAAAGAATATATTTAATACTTGTCCAGGCGAAGTTGTTACTAATCAGTCGTTTTGTTTTCAACCTTACTATCCAATACCTGCAAAAAATGTTACCAGCTTATTTTCTCCTTTATGTTCCGTAATGTTTTCGCTGCGTCTCAAAACAAGAATCTTTTTACGACTGAAAACAGTCGTCTATACACTTTTCATTAGAAAAAATACATACAATCTTGATTTACTGTATTGAAACACTATTATGAGATCATTTTCAATTTATAATGTCTTGAAATGTTTGTAATAAAGATAATCATACTCAATTATAATCAAGTTAAAATTGTTGTATCGAAATTGCTTCCTCATTACGATAGTGATTTAGCGGTAAACATCAGACGACCGAAAGTTAATTTGATTGTGGCCACGCGTGTCAAACAAGGTGAAGAGATATACACAGGGACTAGTAGCTAAATGTCAATGAATTTCAAGTACCCAATGATGGCCCTTAATTTATTTGATTGACGGGGGGATACAGACCAGGTAAATCTGAGTGCGGTGCTTATTATCTCGGGCTTTAATACACAAGGTAAAATAAAAACATGGTATTTCTAATGAACAATTACACCATGCACACTACCGGTAAATCAAGTTTTAGGTTGCTAAAATAGTGTTAATTGTTTCATATAGATCAAAACATGCATATGTGTCAGCATGAAATTACAATTGATCTATCAATTTAAAATAAATATCATTTTAACATTTTACGTTTAATTACCCATAATTATGCCTTGTAAGAAAAGATGTTTATGTATCTTTGTACATAACTATTTTGTCCATGTTCGACAATGTTTCAAATCATAATGTATGGTATGAAATTTATAATAAAATACTTCAACTTGAAAAATGTGAGGCATTCTGAAAATTATCAAGTCACTTTCATATCCCAAAATCTGCAAGTTCTCAGGAATTTTACTTTCATGACTATAAAACATGTACAAATTGGCAATTCATAGTGATACAATACTACACAATGGCATTCTCCCAACATGATGCCCTCTAACATGTCTAATATTTACGACTCTAGACTGCATGTATGTTAAAAATATATTCAACCCCTTCCTCGGCTGTGCAGCACATTCTTCCATCAATAATAAAAACAATTCAGCAAAAAATAAATGTGGGATTCAAGAAACTACTTCTGCGAATAACAATCAACACATTCAGCAGTTATAATGAACAACAAAGCTCACCTTTTCCGAAAGAACATAAGCGTGGGGGCAAATCTTTCGATTTTCCAAATGAAAAAGTAAACACCGGATACAAGTTCATAACGATATTATCCTCTAAAACCAACCTACATTTAAAATTCCGGAATACTACAACACGTTGTATTTTTTTTTTTTTACATGATCGGGACGATGCAAAAAAACACAATAGCATTTTCTAATAATCATACGAAAACATGCAAGATAAATACAATGGTAAAAAATGCATGCGGCCGTTTTAACAGCAATTAATTATACGTATTACAACCTATGCTGAGAATGATTTACAAGGCGCTTTTTCAAAATAATTATAACTGTACAATGGTCAATTTGAATTTTTGGAACGCGCCGTTTTGACCCAACTTTATTCTTACGATTTCAGACAATAAAAACAAAAATAAAGGTGCTCTGAACTGTAAGAAATAACTACCTGTATCTAATCTGTCGTTTGGGGTGCCTTTCTTCTGTGTAGAGTCAAAAGATCTTCTCATCTCTGTTGTTTTTCTTGAGCAAGTTCTTGGTGTTTTCTTCGCCATTTTGTCCCTCTTTCTTCTACTAAAAATCTAACCAATGAGAGAGAAGCATTCTATCGCGATACGCCACCTAGTGATTGAATGTCAGTCTCTACGGAAAATTCACCTTAGTTTTTGCATTTCTCTTTTGGCAATATTTTTTTTTACGTTTTAATTGCAGACGTCCTTGCATTTATGACAACAGAATGAACAGTTTTAAATGCTAAAATAAAATTGATCATGGAATCGAAGGGGGTATAAATATTTTAAGTCCCTTATTATCATGATTATGGTAATTGTTGAAACGGACTGTCCAGATTTTTTACAAATAGATTTAAAATCATATACACATGTACGTAGATTATTGTGCAAAAAAAAAGTATACAAGTCAACAAAGTTATGCTGATGGCATATTATCCACATGAGCGATTTACCCCCCCCCCCCCCCCTCTAGCAAGCGATACGAATTAGCTGGTTAAAACCTTATCACAAGTCTGCAAATTTATGTTATGTTTTTTAAAATCTTAATCTATGGGATACATTTTTATTTGTGTCCTAAAATATAATAAATAAATTAACAAAGTACGTGTAAGTTTATAATCATTGTTATATAGTGAATTATATAATGATTAATTTTGACCTTCGTAACTTAAATAAAACGAAGAACAAAATTACAAACTATATTAGGTGTTGTATGAGTCTCTCTCTCTCTCTCTCTCTCTCTCTCTCTCTGGTATTGCTTTTTATACTTATGTGAAACTCAAAAGTAAAATTGTTATAAGAATTATTAATCAATTGTTAAAAATTTCCATCTCAGAAAATATCTACATGTACAATTAAGTCTATATGTTAACTAAGAATTTCCTGTCACAGGTTACAAATTGAAGTGGCCAGATTTACCAATATTTCTCGAGAAGATCGATCAAAGAAAAAAAAATTCATTCCATTAATAGTAAATCGCGCTACTTCTCAGCATTAGATGATGAACAAATAATTATTATACCCCCCGCTTGAAAAGGGTGTATAGTAATCGGTATTTCCGTCCGTCCGTCCGTCTGTTACGCTTTGGGGTACCCATCTCTTATCCGCAACTCGATCCTCTCATACCACTGAAGGAAATTTAATGAAACTTTCACAGAATCTTCATTACATATTGCCATTGTGCACCTCCTATTTTACTTTTTGATCTGACATATATTTTGGATTTTCCAGAGCAAAACATGGACACTGCCATTATATTCATATGGGAGGCGGGGGGTATCATTTAGTGAGCTCATTGCTCACAGTAACTCTAGTTAGTTATATACTCAATACAGAAGATACGGAAACTCTTAATTTTGCGGGCAAATTTATAAATCATATCATGTAATAGTAGTCATAGTCCTTTACACATGTCATTTATATTGTTGTTTACTAAATGTATTTATCCTTTTTTTTTTATCTTTTCCTTATTATTGTTATAACCTCACACTTTTCTGTTTTGGACTCTAAATTAGAAATAAAACGTTGTTTTATATAGTGTACTTAGAAATTACCTACAGAAAAAAGTTATGAAATAAAATTCATAGACTTTGTTTTCACTAGATTGCGTGTCATCGACCTCTAAATATTTTCAATATTTGAAGTTTACAATGGTGGCAAACAAGGAATGCACTTAATTGTCGATTTCTTTTTGTGATTGCCGATTTCTTTGTGGAGACATTGTAAAACAATAGTGAAATTTTTGAAATAGTCTGTTGAACTAGCAAATATTCTCCTTACCTGTAGATTAGTTTTATTATTTATTAGATTGATCTATAGATAAATATCTGAGAGGTTTTCCTTTTTTTTTCTTTTAATCACCAACACATAATAAACTTTATAGCTCATATGAAACATTTTATACAAAATATTTTATAAAACAATTTTATTTGTTTGATTTTAGGTGAAGTTATATATATAGTGTGCATGGTGTGTGTGTGGGAATTTTTTTTTTTAATTTTTAAATTTGAATGTTCAGACACCTTGGGGTCATTACTAGTGACTATACTGTGTATACCATGTACTGCATGTATATATTACGCCTGGTCACAGCCCATTGTTCCTCTAAGGTAGAAAAACCTCTCAATCCACATAGAATATACAAAAAATACACCAACACGGTATCAGGTGTCTTCGCGACACGTGTCTCCCCACCTGCGGCACGTGAGGACAGGTGCCCGCGAGTGGGGTTCAAAGAAAAGGGTTGAAAATTTGATCAACTTACATACTACTTTTATTTTTTAAAAAAAAACACAAAAAAACCCAAGTGTTTTCTAAATCACAAATCTAGCACATTATACATCTCAATACGAATATAATTGAACATCTTACTAAAAAGGATAGGTACCGCGTTTTCAGTAATATTGCATTAATTAACATCACAAAAGCAAGATATTTGAAAAAAAATATATATATATAAAAGCCTACACATAATATGCTATCTAATTAAAATGAGATTTTCCATTCGCTCCCAGGGTATTGTTTCACAAAAACAGACTTTTTACATTAATAAGTCTTCCTCGTGCGAATAAGCATTTGGGTAACAAATGAGAAGATTTAATTTTAATTAGATTGACATATTATGCTGCAGATCTTAAGAACCATGGCATCAAATGTTCAGGACATGTTTTCTTGCAATATTTACCCGCGGCTTACGAATAAGATTAACGCCTATCAAACGAATAAAATGTATTCATGAGAACGGAGATAAAAATACATATATGTAGATATTAAATCAATGTAATTATAAAAACAACTAGTAACTATTGCACTATATATCTATGTCGAACACTGAATAGTAAAAAAGGCTTCCTAGTCAGTATGTGTTATTAACAAATTGAATTACAAGTATTGAAATCATAATTATCCATTCAGGAATATAGATACATGTATAAGGAATATAAATGCAAATCTTGCTATCTCAGATAATGTAAACGTTCGCTCTCGTAATTATCTGTATTTCATACACTATGAAGACACACTAATTTTCTTTTTTAAACAAATTAACATTAAATGTAATTGTAGACAGAGGAACCTCCATATATAACCCTTGATTTGATCTCATACGGAAGTAATATTTTGTGAAATTAATGTATGTTATGAAAAGAATTAATTCCCGAGGGGGAGTCTCGAGTTGGGTAATGTAGAAAATCCTGGTGAGAGGAATCGATTTTGTTTAAAAATTCCAGCACAATATGAAATAAATTAATATGAAGCAAGGATCTTGTATAAAGTGCTTATCATTGATATTAATATCGGTATGTGTAAGTTTACACAGAGCACATCTCAAAATCTGAATATGAACTATTAGATAATTAAAAATAAAACCATTTTTTAAAATGTATAAGTAAATAAAAGTATGATATGAGTTGATTTTTCTACCCTTTTGAATAAAAAATAATAGAAAAAGTTTCAGTTCGGTTTCAGCATGCGAAAACCATACAGAATCGAAATCAATAGTAAAAAGATCAAATGAGTTGATTTTTCTACGCATTTGAAAAAAAAAGAAAAGAAAAAGTTTCAGTCCGGTTTCAGCATGCGGAAACCATATGGAATCGAAATCAATAGTTTCCGGAAACTGAAACCTACTGAAACTAAAAAGTATCGTTAAATTGACATTTCATTAAATTTTACATTGGTTTCCGTTTTGCGGAAACTATTTGGAAACAAACCTAATAGTTTCAGCATACGGAAACCCTACAGAAACTTGCTGAAACTATTATATAGTTTCCGCATTGCGGAAACCATACAGGAAACTTCAACGCCAAGTTTCAGCAAGGTTTCCATATAGTTTCAGTTTTGCGGAAACTGGACTTTTCACCCAGTGTCACCACATTCAGCACAGAGATTGTTTAAAACACTAAAGGGGTTTGAATTTAAGAGGGTAGAATGTTCGGCATTTTCTTCTTTGCCGAATTCCTAATATGAACAGTGTTTTGCTTTGTGGCCCGGGGAGTGGCAGTTCCAGCAGACAATCTTAAATCCGTGCCGACAATTCTGAGAGGAATGGCCAGTTTCACCACAGTAGAAACACACATTCATATTTCCAGGCATATTTTGTGTATCATTTAAACGACGCGTTTTGATAATCCGGACGTAAGAATCGTAGGCTTTCAGGAGTGTTGATGTTCCCTTGTCGGATAGATGGATCCCATCCTTCCAGAACAGATCCGAAGATTGGAACATATTTCGGAGTGAGATAAAATTCACACTGTATTCCTCACAAACAAATTTGATGATTTCATTTATTTGAGAAACACTTGTATCTCTTCGTGGTGGTATCTCTGAGATATAAATTTCGGTGCATGGCGATCTCCTTTGGATATCAAGCACAATTTCGGTGAGATCACATTCACTTGTCTCAATATCTCTGTTGCTGGAAGCATCATTTCCACCGGCAAGGATTACGATTGACTGGAATGGTGTTAGGTCAATTCCCTGAAGAATCCGTCTAATATTGGAAAGCCGAGCCCCTCTGTTTGTACGGACTGCAACATTTTTTAGTAATCCACGGGTACGGATTCGCTGTAAGATTGAGCTACCTATTACAAGAACAGATTTTCCAGATGGAACGTCGGTCGCCAGGGTACGGTTCTTTTCCGGTCTGTTGGAGGTTTTCTGCTCTTTCTGGGCTGACAAGGTTTCCGTGGAAGTTGAGAATTCCCTTGTCTCAACTCGGGTATACTGTGTATGTCTCGACACGCCTTCTACACAAGTATCCTTTATGTCACGCGTATCAACAGCTTTGGTTTTTGTAGGTGGTTCCCTTGTTTGAGTAGTTGCATCTACTAACTGAGTGTTTTTGTTCTGAAGAGAATGCAACTCCATTTTCAGTCTCGCAACTTCCTCAGAAAGATCAGTAATAGACTTTGTCAGTTTTTGAATAATTTGAGAACTGTTACAGTTATGACATGGTCTGCTTTCCATATCTTGCAATTTACAAGGTTTAGGGGTGGAAGTATTTTGTGGCTGTTACATCCCTTCAATTTTACTAACCTCAGTTATTGGCAGGTGAGGAATTTGTCCAATGAATTCTCGTAGCCAGGCAAATCTCTCACTCCCTTGAACATGGATTGTCTGAGTTGATTTATATAGTGTCGCTGTAACACTGCCATTTTCTGATTTATAAATGCTTCCGTTTTTGAACCCATTTTTGGCAAACAGAAGTTCACTGTTTAGAGTGCTCACAATGTCTTCAGTCCTATCTTCATCATAGTTCAAAGTGATACTCTGTTGGTTGAATTTCACTCGTAAGAAATCTGGTACATCAATTAAAGAATCTTCTTCATCATCAGCATTAGTTTTTCCATGTGAAAATGAAAATCCAAAAGTATCCAAAATAGATTTGAACAGACTTGTATTTTCATTCAGATTAATCGATTCCATTATTTACCATGATTAACAGCATAGGTAATTACTGATAAGGAGGAGCACTGTAAAACACGTCTGGTCACCTTGAGAGCTTATCTAAATATGAATAGATATCAATAGATATATGTATATTTATTACTTCACCGAAACTTATCTAATTATCATAGGAATTTGAAATTTTGCATAACTATTTTAGTCGTTCTTTATAAGATTTCTTGATGAATTTTCATGAAATTATTTCCGTCCTTTGTAAAGTAAATGTAATTGTCTCAATAATTTCCGAACAGCCCTCGTAGTATAAAAAAACGTAGTTCAGCATTTGACTCAATGATAATGCATAATTGTATTTGCTAATAAGGTCATTGTATAGACCATAGAACCTTATTAAATGATCACTTTATACGAGACTGTTGATATTCGTGTTTCATACACTTGTTTGTCAATAACTTAACTCGTTTTAGAAAGTGTTTGTACATTAAACACGCTTGTCCGTATCGAACCAACTGAGAGATACATAGTGGTATGCAGGTGACAAAGGTATATTGCTGTATAAGTGAGGGAAGTTCACGATTGAAAAGTTGCAGTCACGTTTATCTTAAAGCTTGGTTGTTCGAAAAACATTTAAGTCTTTTTCTAGTAAAATATCCAAGCATGAAACGATGTGCAGACTTCAGTTGCAATTGTGGTATTTATTATTTCATGCTCAATGGGATATATCGTATCTTTATAAGAATGGAAATAACTATTGTTATATATAATTAATATATATATCTTGTTTTGTATAAAAAGTGGAACAGTCGTAAGTTTTTATGTTGTTGATTTTGGTTTACTAGCACCTCAAGAAACCTTTAAAATCTTGTGCAATGGAGTAGTAAGCATCCCCTGTAGGACAATCAAACCCACTCTGCGCTCTTTGTCATAATCTGGATCGCGGAAAAAAGACCTAAGGTATTTGTATGTAGAGGCTGTATTGAATCAGCTTAGAAACATAAACCCCATATGCAATGATAAGGGGAAAAGAATAGATAAAAAAATTGTGAGCACTTCAATTTATCTGTAAATTTAGTTAGTTACTAAGTCGTTGCGTTTTTCTTGTAAAATATTCAAATAAGAGTCAGGCAAGTTAGACACAATAGTATCTATTATTTTAATATCTAAAGCTCACTGGGATGTATCCAATCGACATATAAATGGTTGTAATTATAAAAAAAATACTTATAAAATTGTAATAACAATATTATATATGCAATACTTCTATTTTAAAAAAAGTTTATTGTTGCATTTCTGCTTGAATTCTTGTCCAAAATAATTTTTTCCCGCTTTCTTTTTCCGTCCACTCTAGATTAACAGTTGATTTCATCAAAGTTTTCATTGAATTTGTCATATACTGGGAACTGATTTCTTCTAGTAGAACAATAAGTACCTTTTCGGGTCTTCCGTCTACTACTGTAAGGTTTGCAATCAATGTCTCATATCTACACCACTGATCACTCATAAAATTGTCAGACAAAACCAAAATAAATTTACGACTAGCTTCAATATTATTATGGATGTCGTTTACGAATATTCCACCTGGAAGGATATCTCTTTCCTGCAGACAAAGTTTGAAGTTATATTTCTTTTCTAACTTTTCTATAAATTCGGACATAATCCACTGCCTGTCATTTGAGTTATAAGCAACGAATCCGTCAAAAAGGAATTCGTCATCATCCAATATGCGCTTGTATTTTAATGGTTTCTTGGTTTTGTAGATATGAATGTAATATTTTATATCCCAGCGGAGTTTTCTTATAATGATTACTGCAAAACAGATGATTGATAAGCACCCACCGATTGTAAATGAAAGTATTAGATATTGGTTTGGACGATGGCATTCTGAGTCATCAAAACTGGCAAGAAGTAGACCGCGCTTATCACTTGGTGAAACACATTTGTACAAATCAGGAAAGTTTTCTGCTCTTTCTTCGTTATTTTTTAACCATTGTACGAACCATTTTATTTGACATCCACAGTCGAAAGGGTTTGAGGAAAGATCAAGAGAAATGGTTTTGTTCTTCCAAACAAAAGAAGGAAATGAATTATCTCTTACTATAGAAAAGAAATTATGATGCAATACAATATTGCGAATACTTTTCAGATTGTCAAATACACTGCCGTGAATGTTCTTGATGTTGTTTTGACTTAAATCAAGATGTAATAATTTTGAAAAGTTTTGGAGAGAAGGAATATATTTGATATTACCGTAAGATATCTTAACTTTAATAAGCCTTCTTAATGGTAGTAAAAAATCTGTAAAATTTTCATCGGAAAAGTCGGTGTTCAAAATAGTTAAATATTGCAGTTGAAGACAGTTATTAAAAATGTTTTTGTTGAAATATGCAAGATTGCCAACAGAAAGAATCTCTAGTGAATTAGATGCAAAGGTATAACTGTCTGCTATAACACTACTGATGTGGTCAATTTTTAATGATTTTAATTTTTTCCATCGCTCAAAAGTTAACGGTTGTATTTTGGTAATTGGATTATGGGACAAATCCAAGGACTCAAGTTCAGGCAGAAATAGTTTTTCTTGTAGCTCGTTTATTTCCGATAATTTGTTCATTGACAAGTTTAAAACTTTTAAATTAGAGAAACGTAAAATTCGAAGCTCTTGTATTTTATTCTCAGCTAAATTTAAATTTTGTAAATTAGTAATATTATATTCAATAATTTGGGAGATATCATTTTGACGCAAATCCAAGATTTCAAGTTTTTCCAGCAGAGAAAATGATTCGAATTCGGGAATTTCTATGGTTCCCCGAGTCATACTAATTTCTCTTAAATCTCTGAGCCAAACACACTGAAAAAGCCATATCAAACTACCTAGATTAAACAAGTTATTTCCAGAAATATTGAGAATTTGAAGATGTGACGTTTTAAGCAAACACATGGCAGATTCAAGATTATAAAATGTTAATTTATTGTAAGATAAATCCAGAAAAACTAAGTGTTCAAGATACTCAAGGGCTCGTGGGAAAATGGAATTTACGTGGCAATGGTCCATTGATAATCTTGTTATGTTCTGAGTACTTAAATTTACAAACATATCATCCAACACACTTAAAAACTTGTTTCCTGTTAGAATTAGGTTTTTAATACTGGAGGGGAGATGAAAGGAAATAGAGCTAAGATTCCTGTATGAACAGTCGGCGGTTTCTGGACTCCAACACACACATGGCGTTTCAGGACAGAAGGACCCACTGTTCCATTCATTATTTCCTGAGACCCAAACTACCATAGAAACAATCGGAGCCAGCAGCAATGATATCTGTTCGTAAAATGAAACACAGCTTTAACAATAAATTTCAGAAAGCGTCAAATATGGCGTAAAAACGCTGCATTAATATACTTTTATTCCTATTCAAAAACTTATTCTTATTCTAAAACATATCATTCCTATTCGATAAAATGCTATTCCTCTTCGATAAAATTTATTTAATCCTTTTTTGGTTAACATCATTACTGAAGAGCTTGGAGTTAACTTTAAAAAATCCGGAAATTTAAAAACAAAATGAAAATAGAAAATGTCGGAAATGAAAATAAAAGTCGTCGGATAAGCAACGCAACAAACGGGTGATTAAAGAATTTTCGACAATGATTTGTACAAATAATCTGTAGAAAAAGAATAGATGTTTTCCCAATGATGGCGCATTCAAAAACTTTGGAATAAAGTGATAGTTGACATGAGATATGGGAATAAACTTTGAGAATACTGATTATCCCATAATTTAGTGATCACAGACAAATTATTATACTTAATATTAAATTGCATGATAATAATATTTTGCTTACTAGTATTTAAATTACCTTTTTTAGCATCTCTTCCAAATTTCCAGTTGTCCTTATAGTTTATCATTAAAATCTCGATCACTAACTGTCTTTTGCTTTCTTTAAATCATATAATGTCTTTCTAGGCTCAGTCCATAATAAAAGTAAACGAAGAAATAACCTCAGAAACTTTCAGGACAGTAAACAAACATTTCTAGTACCGTACTACAAGTAAAAAGTCACGTACATATATTAAATTAATTCCTCATATGTAAAATGTAAACCATGTATAAATTTGTCGACCAATCGTAATTAATTGGAAGTATTTTCCTTAAATTCCTTCAAAATTTGAAATGGTCCGCATATTATGATATAGTTAGGCATCTGTATATATCTGCATATATTTCAAGAGTCTTTTTATAGATGAACAGATTGTTAATAATTTTCCAAAAAATAATAGTAAATTTTGTTTTCTGTTCTTGACCTTCATCATGAGATTGAGGAAATCAAAATGTATTAAAATTAGGATACATTTTATGGTTGATTGTATCTGGTTTTCTTTGACCATTTTTGTACGTATGTATTCAGAATTTCCTTTTATCCCATGTTTACCCCTTTATCCCGTGGATATAGCTTATGGGATATCGTTTTCATATCCCACACTTAAGTGCAGTTATGACGTCACAATGGTTTTTGCGTTAGTATGGTGAAGTAAAATATAGCCGAGTCCGACCCATATAAAAACAGTGTATAACATCGGTTGTTAAGTATTAAACATTAGATAAAAAGAATCTCCCCTGATTTGTAGTTGGGTATGATTTTTATCCAACTCGTTGTGTGTTTTTATCTCCTCGCCAAGGCTCGGGGATAAGAATCTCACAACTCGTTGGATAAAAATCATATCCAACTACAAACCATGGGATATCCTATATATAATAGTAAATTTTAGAAATTGAACACTTTCGAATTCAGATTCAATTATTTTGTAATCGAATACTTTTGAAACAAAAGTGTGCCTCGTGTTCTGTTGTCAAAATTAATGCAAAATAAAGAACATTCCAAATCATTCAATAGAACAACTTTTCCCCAATTGTAACCCCTAACGGAGGACCAGCCATTACAAAAATTTTCACTTAATTACAAAATTTATTAAACACTGCATAGAGATTGTACGTATTATAATTATTTTTATCATACCGTATAAGGTCATTCTTTAAAGGTGAGAAAAAGTAAAATGTGCTTGCATAGAACAATGTATTATATTAAAGATGTAGTTGATGGGGAAATTTTTATATTTTTGAGATATTATACACTCTTACATTTACAAGTCCGAGATTCATTCTTTCCTTTTGATTATAGAATTGTACGGAAGCCCAATAGCGCATACCAAAAATAAATAAAAAGAGAAATTTTTTATATAAGGAAAAAACGAAATTTTTATCAAATAAAGACAAACAAAACTATTAAATAAAAAAACCCCAAAATTATAAAATAAAGAAAAACAAAATTATTAAGTATAGAAAAACGAAATTATTAAATAAAGAAAAAGGAAATTATTGAATGAGCAAAAATAAATTATTTAATAAAGAAAAAACAAGATTTTTAACTAGAGAAAAACGAAATTATTAAAAAAAAAAAGGAAAACGAAATATTTAAATGAAAAGCTTAAACTAAAAGATGGAAATTTAAGATGTGCATGATAATTGCCTGAACCCATGAATCCTTCCATAAAGTGCACGTACATGTTATAAAGCATCACCTAGTAACTCTTTAGACCTTATATTGTTTCGACATTAAAAAACGTGTGTGGGTGGGATTAAAAAATAAATAAATTTCAAATTGACAAACAGCCCATTAATCCAAGCTTAAGGATAAAAACCATATAAGAAACAGCTATTAAAAGCTTGTTTATAAAGGGAAGTATGTTTTAACATTTCATAAGATATAAAATAAAGCTTCTTGGCTTTTCCATATTTTAAATTTGCTATTACATCAACAATTTCTTTATTTGTAATCTTGTAATCCAGATCATTAAAGGAAGGGCTCATCTCCATGTCAGCCAAAATTAAATCTAGCTCTTGTATCCTAGAATTAAAAGAATTATCACACACAGAATGAAGATTGCGAAAATGATTAACCCATGCTTCAGGATCTATATTTGCTGCAGAATTATCATTATTATCATCCTTAATTGATTATTGATCATTGATTAATTACCTATATTGTTTCAGTTGTTTATTTTGAAGTGTTACAAGCTGATTAAGAATAAAGTTTTGGAAGTTTTTACGTTTAAATTTTCTTAATTATTAAGGTCTTCCGTTTCCAACGGATGACCTTCTACTGATTCTGTTGGTTAAGATCATTATTAGGTCTTGCGTTTCCACTGTAAGACCTTATACTGATTTTGATGGTAAAAATTATTCTTCTTTTTTAAGGTCTTTTGTCTTCAGGGAAAGGTCTTTTTATTCCTAGGTTTCTTTTCCGCTATTTTTGTTAAGAATATAACAAGAGGTCCATGGGCCACATCGCTCGTCTGAGTAGCTTTCACAATGCTGTTCTTTACCAGATTCCCCCTTGTAATACCTACAGTTAAACTCGATTAGTACGAACACGAATATTGCAAATTCATGGTGTAGCGAAGTCAGCTTGGATCCCTAGCTATATGCTTGATATGGAGATAACGAACAGTATTCAATATCAAAGTCAATAAAACAATACAACATAGGAGCAGAGCAAAAATAGACCTCCAAAACATCAGAGATGGGATAAGGTGCCGTGGAGGAGTGAGCATCCCCTTCTGATCGTTCACAAGCGCCGTGTGCTCCTTGTCATGATCGGGAAATAACGGGAAAATCCGTCAATTCAATTTTTAAACAATGGGATAACAATTAGTATGAAACACTCCAGTAAGCATTTGACTTAATGATAAATTGATTTTGCTGACAAGGTCATTGTATCGACCATATAACTTACTAAATGTAGACTTTAAATGAGACTGCTGATATTCTTGTTTCATCAAGTTGCTTGTCAATAATTTACCTCGTTTTAGAAATCGTTCATACCAAGAGCATGCTCTTGCGTATCGAATTAACTGAGATATATACAATCCGTATGCAGGTGATGAAGGTATATTGCTACATAAGTTAGGGAAGTTGACTATAGAAAAGTTAAAGTAATCACTTTTATCATATAGCTTGGTTGTTACATGTAGATTACCATTAACGTCTCTTTCAAGTAAAATGTCCAAGTATTAAACAGATTTGTCAGACTCTGTGGTATCTTTTATCTCAAGCTCTCCAAGATACATCGTATCGACGTAGGAATGGAAATTACCATTGTTAATTGACAATACGTCGTTCATATATCAAAATGTCAAGTTGAAGGCCACAACAAGTGTTTTCTTCTTTTCTTGCAAAAGATTTCGCACGAATTCTGCTTCATATGAATACAAAAATAGGTCCGCTAATAACGGAGCGCAATTAGTACACATGGAAATTTCAAAAGTTGGAAGACCTGGTCTCCAAAACGCATAAGATATTATACTCAACCAGGTACGTTAATTTACGACTTCCATTTTTTATTGAAAAAGCAGCTAGCCCAGGGCTCATAATTTGGACAATTTAAAATCTGCACTACCCCAGGATGCTTTTGCAGTTTCAGCTTTTCTGGCCCAGTAGTTCATCATAAGATTAAAAAAATCTATTTATTTTAATGTATAAATTTGGTTCCCTATTGAGGCGCCACCCTACCCCCGGGGGTTCGTGATTTGAACAATTTAGAATGTACCTAACCTTTGGATGCGTCCACATAAGTTTCAGTTTTTCTGGCTTCTTGAGAAGATTTTAAAGATTTTTAATCCTATTTATTTCTATGTAAAACTTTGATTCCCTATTGTGGCTCCGTCCAACCCCCGGGGTCATGATTTGAACAATTTAGAATCTATACTACACCAAGATGCTTCCACATAAGTTTCAGCTTTCCTGGCCCTGTGGTTCTTGAGAAGACTATTTAATGACCCTATCCTATTTTTGTCTGTTCTTGATTATCTCCCCTTGTGAACGGACTTGCCCTTCATTTTAACAATTTAAATTCCCTTCACCCAAGGTTACTGTACCAAGTTTGGTTACAGTTGGGCCAGTGGTTCTTCAAAGAAGTAGACCACGTCCTTTAACATTAAACAATTTTTAAAAAAAAAACTTTATGCAATGCAAATAAATCGTAAGCAATAATTACATTAAGGAAAAGTAATCAGATGAAAATGATTACAATGTACTTTTAAAAAAATGGTTGTAATCAGCTTGTAATCAATTACTTTTAAAATCCAAAGTAATTGTAATATAATCAATTTCTTTTGAAAGTAATTGACCCCATCCCTGATGGTAATCGGTTAGTCGAAAAAAAAAATTATTTTTAGATTTGTATACAATTTTCTCAAAAATGCATTTTTATTAAGGAAACTTTGGTTGAAAGTTGATTATTTATGGATTTTAACACATCATTAAAAAGATTATTTTGAACTAAGTATGGCTCTCCTGATCGAGATAAGAAAAATAATTTTATAAATGCTAACGTTTCTTATCTCTAAATGTTTTAGTCTTAAGAATAGAGCTACAAATTGTACTTGAAAATAAAAATGTCAAAATCTTTGTATTGTAATAAAATAATAAACAATAAACTAATTGGTTGGAACGTCTCGCAGTTTACCGATTATCAATTCTGAAATGGATTGCCTAATAAAAACAATACCTAAAAATAAGTACCATAAATCTCTAACAAGACAAAAACTCTACGCGTACTGGTTTCTACTTTAAACAAAGAGAGAGAAAAGATTACATTGTATACTTTACTTGTGTGCAATGTTATAAAGTTAAATTGAAATCAAACTAAAACCAAAGGAGGAGTGGAATTTTGAAAAATTAATTGTTTACAGACAGATTGAAAATGGACAGAAGAAGAAAACCTTAATACCATTGCAAAAGCTGTTCTGGTATCTGACAAATAGAGCTTATGAAATACATCAGACAAAATATGATCCAAAGATAGGTTATTTGCTTACAAGGTCATTTAAATGAACTTAAAAACGTAATGCAGACTTTTTACGAAGTTACTCTAATCTCGGAAAAGTGATGTTGTAGGTGAGATCACAGTCACAAGGAAATGATGACAACAAGCACATCACATCGGAGACTAGGGTGGGATGGGGTCCCATTTCCAGACATAAATATAATTTTACTATAAAATGTTCATTGAAAGAGCTTTGTGCATGAAGCTCCAGCTTGTTTTGGAATAATAAAACCCCAATTCTATACGACTCATGAACTAAACATTAAACTAGGATTCAAGGAAAAATGTACTATCAATTTATTGTAAATCATAGGATGAACTACTGTACATAACTCATTTAACATAAACAATGAAGTAATCCATCACAATTACAGAACAATGAATTAATTTATACAAGAAGAATATAGCACCAATTGTAATTAAAAGGGTATTTAGCAACCATAATTAATGACC